CCTGCGGGCGCGGGAGGCACCGCGGAACGGCCCTCGGAACGGGGCGGCTGCGCGCTCCCGGGGCTCCTTTGAAGGGTGAACTGAGCGGCGATGGCTGCTCAATGACGGGGATTGCTCTCAGCCAGCAACCTGCCCGCTCTCTCCTACATTAGCACCCGAAGGTCAATAGTTACTTGGCACAAGCGCAGGGCCCCGAGTCCCCGCCCTCGCTAATGCTGTTTTATTTCCATTTCAGTTGCAGCTCCAGGTGGTCCCGTTATCTTGTGTGCTCCCTGCATGGAAGGATGTGCTGCACAGCAGAGACTTCAGACAGCAAATTAAAACTGTGCTGAGCAGGGTGGCTGTGTTTGTTTAATCTGAAAGCTTTTCTGGGAAGTGTCCAACACCAAATTATTGGCCGTGTCCAGTGAATCATTCCCATTACTCTTGTTTATTTTCTACAGCTCGTGTTAGGGACAGCAACCCTCTGAACTGAGTGAGACAGAGAACTGCAGGATGAACCATTTCCTTTAAAGATTGCATCAGACCCTTCTCTAAGTTGTATTTTCTACAGAAACCACAGGCAGCACTGAAGTAACTAGAGAGCACAGTACATCTTGTGGTAGAGAAACACAGCAGGTAGGGGACATCAGGCAGTGAAATACTGACACTGAGGCTATCGTGCACAGAAAAAACACAAACAAACAAAAACCACAGCTCTAGGACAACCACAGATCTTCTATCATTGTGGTTAAGGTTTTTAAATGCTATTGGAGTAAAAATACTAATAATTGCATGAATAATGCAGAAAGCAACTTCCTATTATTCCAGAAAACTATTTACAAATGGACTACTTAACACCCACCTGCAGTTAGAAAAACATGATCATAGACTTTAATGATACATTTCTAATGGCAATTTGAGCCAAAATCTAGCAAGCCAGTGAACATTTTAATTAAAATTTATTAATATGAAAGTTGGAAGTGATACAGTAACATGGAAGAGTACTAGACAGGGCAAGTAAAGACAGTGATTGTTAAAACAAAACCAAAACTAAGAAGTAGGAGGCAAAACAGAGAGAACAGAATGAAGAACATTGTGAAGTTTATTTCATCAGCTTCTAAATTGTCCATGGAATACAAGTCATGTGTTTGCGTAACACAGAACATGGAAGTCTTATTATTCTCACAAAAGTCAGCTCATAACATTCAACCAATTAAATCTTTACTGTCTTAACTCTGATGTTGCACAACACGTAAGTGATTTGTACTTTGCTTTATAGATTCGTGTTGAGTAGTTGAGGGGATATACAATAATTGCTCTTGGTGTGCTCTACTAAAAGAAAAACACATTTTGCAGGCAACAGATTATTTTCACCATCTGAGAATACTCAAAATTGTCCCAAGAACTTTAACAATACTCATAATCTTTAATTGCAGAAAATTATTTTGATGACTCACATTACCTGAATACCCTCCCCACAAATCTGTATTAAAAAGACAGATCAGCTAACAAAGAAAAACATTCTATTACCTTTGCTATTATGCTTCAGCACAGGGTGAGAAGCAACAACCTGTGACTGGAGGCAGTGGCACTGCTTGATGTGCTACTGGAGGACACCACTGAAAAGTAATTAAGTACAAAAATGACAGAAAAATGACTTACATGTATTTCCCTAATGTTGACAGATACTTAGTTTATAGTATTGATGGATCATACAAGTGATTCACTTGAACAAACTCATTTGAGTAAGGCATCAACTCAGAGCACAGCACTTTTGCTCAACACAGTCCAATAAAATATGGAAATAGAGAGTAACTTACAGGAAAACATAAATGCTGCTGAGTCATCCTTACTTGAAAAACAAGTATTTACGCTGCATCTGCACACAAGTATAGGATAAAATAACATTTGAACTGTATTTTTTTTTCTCAGTACTAGAAAATCTGAAGAAAATATAAAGACTCTTAAGCCAAGTTACCTTAAAATTCAGGAAGCAGCTTTACCAACTTAAGTTTTGCCTTTGCTGCAGCAGAGTAACCTAAAACACTTCACTGTTACTCACAGGGACTTTCTCCAGTTCGCAGTTGTTTCACTTTTGCTTTCCTCCTCACAGAAAGCAGTGTTTTTTTTCTGAACATCCATTGTAAAAGAAGCTGTGTGATATACGTATGGAAAATATGCAGAAAAGATTGTCCTACCATTGGATGCATATATTGCCTTATTAAATTCCTGGGTGTCCACCCATTACATACTTTCCCTGGCCAACACACAAGAAAACACAGATGCTCAAAGAGGAACTGTCTCTTCACAGAGTCATTCCTAATTTTAATGTTAGTTTCTCTTTGTTAAAGCAGACGCCCCTAAAGAGCATGTATCTAGAAATGTTTAAAAATGCTGCTAACTGCACTTTACATTTGATCTTGCACATGAGCTACCTTCCACAAAAAGAAGAAATTATTATGTAATTAGTTTTGAATAATTGAAATTTCCTAATTCTAGTAACTTTTCCTAAATTTAAACACAAACAATATTAAAATACAACAGAAGTTATCTAATTTCCAGTTCCCTCTTAGCCACGCCTAATTCCTATGTTCTAATTCTGCAGTCTCAAATATACCCTTAAATAACCCATTTGACTCCTCAGTGTATTACAGTGAGCACGTGGAAGTTTAAGTATTAGCAGTAGAAAATTAGGTTTGACTTAAACTGTCATCACATCTAACATATAAAAAAAATGCAAGTGTAACCACATATGCTGCCTTACAAAGACATCCTCTGGCTATGATAGTCTGTATATAGCATTAAAATACAGTATAGAGAAGGAAACTAGAAATCCCAACTTGGTAGAGCTTTTGGGAAATATGCATTTATGGAATTAATATGGAATGTTGTAAAAATTTAAAATATATTTTATTAAAAATACAGAAAGTGACAACATCAGTGTGTTTTGAAAAAGACAAAATTCCACAAAAAGGGAAAAGGCTTTTTCCATCTATAACTATCATATTTGCTGTCAAATACCTACTGAAAAAGAGTATTTGAGACAGATTTTTGGACTGTGTGGATGTTATATGCCAACTTCTAAGGCAACAAGAAACTTCTCATCCAGAGTCCAAAAAATGTAGGGAGACCCCAAAAATGTAGCAGAAGCATTTCCGCACACTGATTTCAGTAGCCAAGTTTGTGCAGAAGTGATTCCACTAGATTCATAGGGTACCTTTTTGAGGCAACAGAAACTTGTCACTTTGTTAGCTTTTTGACATGCTCCAGCTCTTCTATAGGTTTCCATTTCTGATTGATTGTCAATAGCTAGAAGAAATTAAAAGGAAAATATTAAAGAAATAAGCAAAATCCCAGTATTTACTCCCAACCCACCCCTCCCTCTGTCATACATCAACTTATCAGTGAAGAAGGATTTCCAGTAGCTTTACATTTTCCTTTCAGAAGAAAGCAAAAATAGCAACAAATGGCATATTTCATAGTTTTTTGAACAAAATCACTTGGATATTAAATAAGTAATAATGCAAATTAAGTTAAATTAATTAAGTTAAGATCAGATCTGCAATGTAATAGCTGAATCTCCATCCTTAAGAATCACAGGGAAGATACTTGATGCAATGTACGAAGCAGTCAGTTCCATTTTTTAACAGATGTATGTCAGCTTTACATTTGCTTCCTCATTATTATTTTTCCAGTTCTTACACATTTAAATAAAGTTACTTGTTGTGTTGGAAACACATGCTATTTGTGCTGGCTGTATTATTTGGACGAGTTACCTTTTGAGGCTTTGCAGGATCTACTGTTTCCCATGGCTCTGGATTGCCACTCTTGTTAATGCTGGAAGACAGACAAAGCAAAACAGGTAATGTATTTATAGATAGGGTGTGATCTTGCACATGTTTTGCTTATATGAGCAGCCTACTGTCACTAGAACTATTCATTTAAGTAGTTCCTTGAAACACAAATTTACAGATTTAGGCACTCTGTTCTGGGTAGGAATCAGTGATACCTTGCTTTATTTGCAGCTTCCAAAGTACCAGACAAGCCAACATCGTTCAAGTATAATGTATTATCATAAAGGAAGCAAGCTGAAAAAACAAAACTAAATAACAACACAAAGAAAAAGTAAAGGGATTCTTACCCTGGCAGTTGAAATACCTATTCCAATCACTTTCAATATAAACATTCTCAAAAGTTTAAAGAGTATAGGATTTGGCTCCAATTATCAATCAAGCTATTAAAACATTAACTTATTGTAAGTTCATATTATCTAATGCTGTTCTTTATAACAAAACAATAGCCTGGTAGCAACACATCTCTGCATGCCATCTACCTGATTATCTGAAATTCATAAGAACATTAAACCTATTGCACCTAAAGCAAAGAAAAAACATAACCTATTAAATCAAGAATTAGGAAATAATTGGACTACACTTCAAATTATTTAATTTCTCCAGTATTTACAATCTGCAGATTATAATCTTAGTTACTATTACTAGTAAAAAAACCCACGTGGACATTAGTAAATGCAGAAACTCGATGGTCTCTGCTCAACGGAGAAGATTAGGGTAAACTCCCAAGCCATAAAGATTTTGCTTACACCACATCAGATTTGCAGAATAGGGAATAGATACAAAAAGAAAAGGCCCCAACTCCTGCACAGGACACTACTCCAACCAGGGGAATGAGCTGAAAGACATAAAACAGAGAAAGGACTTTTAAGAACTAGAGTCCTGGCTGCAGAGCCATGAACCGGGGGCAGAGAGTTACAAGGAACTAAGGTGTGATTACCTGATAAACTTTATTACCTCTATACAACTATTCACCCCCACCTCATCCAGCATTAATCTCAAAGTACAGGGTCCCTGCCATCCCTCTCTTGTTAAAGGGCAACCCCCGTGCACCTGCTGGAGCCACCACCCCCGCCCGAAGGGGGTTATCGCAGAACCGTCTCTGGCAAACTTACTTCTTTTTTTGTTCTTAGCATCTGGAAGAAGCTCGTGTTCATCCTGGCTGCGGTTACGGACCTGAAACAAACGTACCCCAGTTACCGCACCCCAGAACGGGACCCCCTACCGCCCTCTGGATGCGGGACCTGGGCCCCCCCCGGGCTCCGGGGGAGGGAGCACGGCAGCTCCGTTACCTGGCAGAGCGGAGAAGGCCCAGCAGCACCTCCTAAGGGCAGCAGCGGTTCCGAAGGGCAGCAGCTCGGGGGCAGCAGGACGCTGCCCGCCCTATATATGCCCTGCGGACGGGGCGGCCCCCCCC